ACTAATAGAAATAGACTAAAGCTAATACCCCTAACTATATATATTATTATAGCTTCTCTTATCTACCTTCCTAGGAAGGTTAGTTCTACTTATATTAAAGACTTAAATAAGACTAAGTTAACAAGAAGACTTTATAGACCTCTTATAGCGTAAAAGGTTATAAACTTAGATATAGTAATATTATTATAAAGGCAAAGGTAAAGAAAGGTCCTAAGCTACTAAAGTAACTTAAGTACTACTATAAGCACTAAACTATTTCTCCTTTTTCTTTCTTTTATTTCTTTAGGTTCTTTCTTTAGTTCTTAGGTCTAAGAAGTAGTTAGACCTTTTACTTAAGGTTAAGACAATAGGTCTAAGGGGATAATTATAGTAGGGTTAGGTAATATAGTTATAAGAATTATATAGTAGTTAATTTAAGGGATAAATTAATAAGAAAGCTACCTACCTATTAAAAAAAGGATTTATAGACCTAAGAAGAGATTAGAAGGGACATAATTACTTATATATAGTTATTATTATTAGCCTTAATACTCTATATAGAAATACACTACTAGTTATTACTACACTTTTATTTATTTAAAGAAATTTACTCTTTTTATAATTACTTTATTAATTTATACTTTTATTTTAGTATCTTTATAGATTAGGTCTAAGAATTACAAGACCTATTAATTAATATATATATTATTATTATTAGACGTTATTATAGTGTAGATAGTTTTCCTATGTTTTACTATTCCTCTTTTCCTTTATTAAGTGGCCTAGATACCCTGCCCTTTCTTACTATATATAAGGAATTAATACTAGACTTTATTATTCCTAGGTATATCTCTAGAATATAATTAGTATATACTTAGGATATATTAGATATATATTAAAAGAGTGTTACCTAAATACTAAATATAATTACTTTAATATATACTCCTTATAATATATTAAGTATTAAATAGTGTCTAAAAGTGCTTTAATAAGCTCTTTAGCCTTAGCCTTAGTTATATCCTCTTTATAAGTAAAAAATATAATATAGTAAAGTATTTTATTCTCTAAAGTTAGTAAATAAAGTAGTAAAGTAAAATAGTCTTAAATAGACCTTATAGTAGTTTTACTTCTCCCTCTATAGTTAAAAAGAATACTAAACTACTTAATTAAGTCTTAGTATATATTTAGTATATATATAATATATAGGGAGTATATACTTAGACTATACCTTAGTCTAGCCTATATAATATAGTAGGTCTAGTATACTTAACTTACTACTTTAGTTATAGAAATCTAACTAAAAGTTATCTTATTAAGATTAATAAAGTAACTATTAATATTACTTAAAAACTTATAGTATTTATTTATCTACTAAGTATATACTAAGCACTAGCTAGTGTTTCTTTAGTACCCTTAGTATTATTATCTCTAATACTAAGGTACCTAGGGTTATCTACCTAATCCTTATTATCTAATAAATTAGAGGAGTATAAAGGTAAAAAGGTAAAACTATTATTACTACTTATATTATCTAGTATATTATCTATTACCTCTTAATATAAAGTAAATATATACTTAGGATATTATTAGCTTTAGTTAAGTATATACTAAGGAGAGGCTTTCTATATATTTTTTACTACTATCCTTTACGCCTTCTCCTTATTTCCTTAATTTATAACTATTCTAGGGTTTTATTTTACTGCCTTTTTAACTACTTCTTTTTCTTTAGACTTATATAAATATTATATATATAATGTATATATACTATATATACTAAGAATATAATTTATCTATGCTGCCTATATAACTTACTGTATAACTTATTCCTAAGTAAGAGATTAGTTAGTAAGGGGGTATTACTCTCTAGACTATCTATTATAACACTGTACTCTATAGATTTATGAATTATATAAGGTATATATAAGCCTATTACCCCCCCCTGAACTTCTGCCCCACTGGCCGGACACCCCCCCCTGAAGCTGCAATACCCCCCTACTAACTGTCTACCCAGGGAGTACGACGCGAGATAGAGAGGGTGTGACGGAGACTGGCAGAACAACGGGGAAAATGCAACGAGATAAAAACGCTCGGCGCCGGCGGGTTGTTGTGTCTAGGGGTGGTAGTATCCGTACTCTGTTAGAGATTGCGTGTCACGCAGAATAGGGGTTGCCAGAGTGGGCGAAGGAGACTGGAGAAAAGAAAAGAAAAAAACTCTAAAAACTTTTATTTCCCCCCCCTTGTCTTCCCGAGTTTCCCAGCTTGCGCCCGCAGAACGCGACTCAAGGCGCCGCCGACGACGACCGAACACGGAAGAAGAAGAGACGTTTCTCGTCCACGACGGCCGCAACGCCGAAAAAAACGGCGGAAAATGGTCCAGCTCAACATCAACCCCTATTATCTACTGACAATCCTCGTTATCTCGTGCGGGTCTATTCCCAAGGGTAAGACTAGATAGTCGGTCAACGACCGCGAAAAAAACCCCATCATCCCCTCCCCCCTTCTCCCCGACAAGAGTGATCAGTTTCTGTCTCTCTGCTCCACCCGCGCAAGCTGCGGTTCACTGACTAGCTTTCCCGCAGGCTACGATGAAGGCGGCTTCAGCGCCGCGACGGGCCTGCCCTCGTTCAAGAACGACTTCGGCCTCGTCGCCAGCGCGTGGAAGGGCAACGAGTCCGGCCTGGCCGACCGCAAGGCCAACATCTCGTCCTTTGGCGTCCTCGGCGCCGCTTTCGGCTGCCTGGTCGCCCTCGCCGTCAACGACAGGCTCGGCCGGCTGCGGTCCTGGCAGCTGTTCGTCGCCGTGTGGATGACCGGCAACCTGATGCAGGTCTTCTCGTCCGGCATCCTCGGCCTCATGCTCTTCGCCCGCATCTGGGGCGGCCTCGGCGCCGGCGGCCTCACCGTCGTCGCCCCTCTGTACCTGTCCGAGATCGCGCCGGCCAAGTCGCGCGGCATGGTCGTCAGCATCTACATGGTCGTCCTGCTGTCGGTCCTGACCATCGGTGAGCCTTCCGCAGCGTCTCGGGACCCGTCATCTTCTCCCGGGAACCACAACGGCACGCATCCCTTGCTGACCAGCCATCTACCCGTCTCTCAGGCTTTTTCATCAACTATGCCGCCAACGCGACCCTGGCCGCGACGCGGATGCAGTACCGCCTCGTCATCGCCGTCCCGCTCATCCCCACGGGCCTGGCGCTCATCGCGTCCTTCTTCCTCGACGACACCCCGCGCTGGCTCGCGTCCCGGGACCGTGGCGATGAGGCGCTCGCCGCTCTGGCGAGGCTCCGGCACGCGGACCCGAGCGACCGGGCGCTGACGGCCGAGTACGACGAGATCCACGAACAGATCCGCAACCGGAAGCAGATCCTCGCCGAATCGTCCACCTGGTCCATTGCCAAGGATATCGCCACCACCCCCACCTACCGCACGCGGTTCCTCCTCGGCGCCGTGATGCAGACCGTCGCGCAGTGGTCCGGCGGCAACGGCATCACCTACTACATCCCCGAGATCTTCCAGTACGCCGGCGTCGTCGGCGACAACACCTCGCTCGTCACCAGTGGCGCCTACGGCGCCGTCAAGCTCGTCTTCACCATGGTCTTCACCTGGAGCCTGGTCGACGTCTTCGGCCGCCGCCGCTGCTTCATCGCCGGCCTGTTCCTGCAGTGCATCACCCACGTCTACATGGCCGTCTACATGAGCGTCTGGGTGGGCGGCGGCAACAAGTCGGCGTCCGACGCCGCCATCGCCTCCGTCTTCGTCTACGCCGTCGGCTGGTCCATCGGCCTGTGCACCGTGCAGTACCTGTACGGCACCGAGATCTACCCGACCCGTATCCGCAGCGTCTGCTACGCGACCAACATGACGCTGCACTGGTTCTTCCAGTTCGCCGTCGTGCGCGTGACCCCCAACATGTTTGTCAGCCTCGACGTCTGGGGCGCCTACGTCTTCTGGGCCTGCATCTGCGCCGGCGGCCTCGCCATCCTGGGCCTCTGGGCGCCCGAGACCAAGGGCATCCCGATGGAGAGGATGGAGGAGCTGTTCAGCGGCCCGTGGTGGATGGGATGGAGAGCCGGCGTCGACCTGGAGTCGAGCGAGACCACACCCTTTGGGAAGGACGGCTCGACAAGGAATGATTCGAAAGAAGGGCCTTTCGCGCCGGACCGGAAGACGGATGTTTAGTCAGAATCTGCTGCTACGTGCTTTTTTTTTTCTTCTTCTTCTATTCCCCTCCAGCTAAAACAAGACAAATAGTCCTTTTAATGACCGCATCTTTCATGAGACCACATTCAGAAGTCCGTCCGTCTCGTTCGAATTCTCTGAACACCTGGGGGCGTCTTCCTCACCACTAGCTTCCGTTCCTGGACCTCGGAGCCGGATCGGCGTGAAAAGCGGGGCTTCTCGGCCGAGACGCCCCGCTTTTCCTCGGAGATTCAAAGCTGACACGCCGTTATCTCGCGTCCGTTACTGAATGATTGATTTGACTCGTAATAAAGACCAGAGAACCCCTCACCAGACAACATCGTCTCAAACGCGGGTTCTGGCTAGCATTGGTTGCTTCGGCCCGACACTAGTCAGCTTGTACTCGCTACCAGAGAATATAAGCACGCTTCCTTTTCGTTACTTCTGTCAGCACCAGCATAGCTGCTAGTTTCTTGCTTTTTGTATAACGTCCAATGCCTCGTTGCCTGGTTCGCCTGTCCTAGCTGACCTCGTCGATTCGAAGCAAACGATACGATGGAGAAGGGACGCAGCTCGGTAGCCCTGCCGCCGCCGCCGCCGCCGTCGTCTCCGCCGGGGAGAATCAGCAAGCGATGGGTGCTTGTCGGCGCACTCGCTCTGATCGGACTTGGTCATCTACATTCTCCCCAACCTCGATTGCAAGCATGGCAGCGCCACAGGGGAGGTCACAGTCGCACGCATAACTCGGCACCTGCAGGAGACTCCCCCTTCGGCCAGTTTCCTCTTCCCAAGGACCCTTTCCGCTTCATCCCTTGCACCAACGCGTCCGTTCCCCCGCCGCTCGACGACCCTCACCCCGAGCAGACCTGGGCGGCGCTTTTTGACCCGGACCCATCCAATTGGAGCTGGGGCAACAAAAGCGTCTCCGTCGACTCGGATGACGACCCTTACGCCGGCCGCGGCATTTACCTCTGCGGCTACTTGAATGCGCCTCTTGACTATACCAACGCGTCAGAGAGCCGAGTCGTCCGGCTGGCCGTTACAAAGTATCAGGTCTCCGGGCTGGCCCGCGTCGGTGAACCCGCCGATGACGACAAGAACCCGGTGCCTGGCGCCAAGAGCGAGCGCACCATCGTCATTGAGCCCGGCGGACCGGGCGGCAGCGGAACCTCGTACGCGTGGAGGGCTGCGGAGCAAGTCACCCAGCGTTTCAGTGACAGTACCTTTGACGTCCTGGGCTGGGATCCGAGAGGAGTCAACATCACTCGACCGTCCATCTCCTGCTTCCCTTATGACGTTGACCGTGATCACTGGTCGCTCGTGACCGGGCAGTACCTGGAGGTGTCCGATGTCAAGCGCCAGCTCAACATCGCGGATGCCATGAATGACGCGACGTTCAAGGCGTGCTGGGAACTTCACGGGGACTTGGGTCGTTTCCTAGGCACCGGACTCGTCGCGCGCGACATGGAGGAGATCAGGAAAGCGCTCGGCGAGGACGAATTGACGGGCTACCTCGTCAGTTATGGCACCGGCATCGGGCAGACGTATGCGAACCTGTTCCCGGACAGCGTCGGCCGCATCATCTTGGACGGAACCGAATACGTGCGCGATCACCGTCTTCTCGGTGGTTTCGGGTGGACTGCTCTTGACAACGCCACGGACGCGTGGCATGATGGTTTCCTCGGCGAATGCATCAACGCCGGGCCGGAACACTGCGCGCTAGCCAAGTCCAAAGACGACCAGCCGGTCGTTCTAGAGGACCTCAACATCCGGATGAGGTCGCTGATATCTTCGCTCATCGATCGTCCCGTCGTTGGATACACAAACGCATCCGGCCCGTCCATCGTTACCTATTCGGGCCTCGTCGCCGGCCTCTACACCTCCATGTACAACGCCGCAAGCTGGCCGGCCCTCGCCAAAATGTTGTACGAGCTGGAACAGGGCAACTCGACGCTGGCGACTGCGTTCCTCGAACAGATGTCCTGGGAGTACGACCCCACGCTACCGGCCACGACCAGAAAGCGGCCCTCGTCGGATGAGCTCGGCACCTTGGTGATCTGCGCCGACGGATACGACGCGCCCTTACCGCCCGACGGCCTGGACTGGTGGGCGTCGCTCTGGGCTAACATGACGGCAAAGTCCTGGATCTCGGGAAACTCGCGCTTCTTCAACGTCTTGCCGTGTCAGCACTTCACAAAGTACTGGCCAGAGCCCGCGGGGGTCTACAGGGGCGATCTCAACCACACCCTCAACAACCCGGTCCTCCTCGTCGCCGAGACGTACGACCCGGCGACGCCGCTGCGCAACGGCCGCAGACTGCTGGACGAGATGGGACGGAACGCGAGGCTGATTGTCCACCACGGCTACGGCCACTCGTCCAGGGACACTTCCAACTGCACCAACTCGATCGCCAAGACGTACATCCTCGAAGGGAAACTACCCGACGAGGCTGAGACGGCGTGCTACGCCAACGAGAAGCCGTATCTGTACGGTGTCAAGGACAAGGGCGTCGGCGTGCTAACTGAGGGGGCTATGGATCCTATTGACATGTGGCGTCAGCACCTGCGCGAGATGGCTTTCATGAAGTAATGATCCGCCCCTTGGAGTTCGCTGCTCCGCGTCGCTTGAATAAGAGGAGGTCGTTTACGCCTTTTTGCTTTGAAACGTGTGGGCTTTGTGAACAATGTTATCAGACACAGCGCAGATTTCAGTAGAATTTGCAACTCCTGTAGGCTCTGCTTTGAGGACCCATGGTCAACATTGGAAGGGAATATGTCAAACACAACCCGATAAACTTAAGACTATTTTGAGGACGAGTGCAAATAAAAACAATGAAAAGATTTTGATGAATGTGCAGCTCTTCATTCGACCTGACAAACTGTTCTTGCGACCTGCCAACATGGACGTGTGACAAAATGGTTCTCCATCGCTGCGATACCAATACAGCAGCAGCGACGATTCTCTAAATGCGTACGACTTGGAGACAATCGTAATTGTTTCTGCAAGCAATTTCGACGAATATATAGTGAAAGGCCTTGTCCGGAAGGCGCACGGCTAGAGAATTCTAGCTGGAAACTCCCGTAGTCGTAGGCATAAACCTCTCAACGCCGCTTGTCCGCTCTTCCAACTCTCATGAATACGATCGAGCGAGTTTGAAAGTTTAACGCCTCTGCCGAGGCTATCAGCCAAACTGGTTGTATGCAGCTAACCTATTCCGGGACTTAGTCTGAACTTGGAAGTTGCCGTTTCACTCTGATGATGCCATCAATGTTTCAGCCCAGTTGGCACAATCCTATTTTTCTCTTTCCGAAATCTTGGTACGAATGAGTCTTGGCGATCTGATACGTTATCCGATTCGGGGGCGGCGTTTCGAAGCCCCTTTTTGAGCCCCGAGCCAACGCCTTGGTCTTGACATCTTATTCCGCAGTCAGATGCGCGCCTCCAGCATCATGAACTTTTCGTAGGGATAGACAGAGAAACATCCTAGGCCGCTGGATTGTGTATTCCGACGAGATACTGACCTTTTTCATACCCGCACACTCCAACCGAACTATCGAATATAACACACACAGGAACGGGCCGTTTCCACTATAGAGCCTCTACATTCGTCCTCCCGTACCACGTTTGCGAGACAATCAGAGGCTTTGTAATTTGTATCCTTCACTACTGAAAGTGTTGGTTACGCCAGCCGTTATCATCGGATCTCAATCTCAAAAGAATGTTTTACACATCTCGATCACTTGTCGGGGGATTGGGGCAAACCAATCCGATATGGTGAAAGCCCAAATCTGCCAACAAACCAAACTGGCGCTTGGGGCAGCGTTTGACCATGTGGACGTTATAAATTGTGATACTGCAATTACGATGGCTGCCGAATGATAATTGTATGTCGATCTGTGAGCTTAATGATGACAAAGTTCAACTAACGAAGTGAAACATAACTACCGGTATGCTGGGATCGACAAAATTGTTGCCTGAAGTATGCAGCCTGACTCGATAAACCCATGGCCGGCTAGAGCCGTAATATAGGCCAGCCATTACTGCAAAGCCAGGGTCGAAATGCGACATTGAACCCCTGTTACTGTGATCAATCGTGAAAAATAAAGTGAAATCTCCAACAGAAACATCCTGATTATTACAAAGCTACCCACACTTTTTGTGTTTGTTTAGTCACAGTGGTATCCGGTTCTCATCGTTCCGAAGGCGCTCCCATGCGATCATGGCATCGTGTACACAAAGCCTTGTACGCAAACTGGTATTCAACAGCCAATGATACTCTCTAGGCGGCCGGTACACTAGTGATTCGGACTAAGACGTCTGTGTTCTGACAGAGAAGATACGACGTGCCATGCTGGGCGATTATCCCTGCGACCTATGATGGCATTGTGTGCCTAAGATAGATATCCGTGGTCATCATCTCGAAAGGCTGAATCAAGATTTGCAAACTCCCTAAGGTCTGACCGAGTCAGGAGCTATGACGGAAGCCAACTACTAGGGCAAACTTCAAGAAGCGCATCCTGTTGTACGCGAGTCAGAACTTCAGGCCGATCCTCCGAATATCTTTGCATGGCGCGTTTGACTAGAACTCTATTTGTTAGGCTCTCGCCATGCTCCTTCACAAATGCTCGGACGTCCAGACACGTTACACAGACACACCACACCGGGGGGCCACGTGCGTCTACGTCAATGTATGTGCGCACCCAAGATAACGGTGCATGATGGAGTGGCGAGCTCTTCTGAGCAGGGCAATTCCCCGGCCGGTGTCTCCGGGTCCATTCCACGCAGTTGTTAGTCACCCCTTCCGGCCAAATCTCTGGAAGACTGGAGAATCTCACTCTCGACACGCGCGTCAGAGAAGAATTTGCCTAAGCATCGACCATTTCCATAGTTGTCAAGGGCTTCGAAACACTATTGCGGGCCGCCGCCTCCCCTTGTCACGCAAATACCCGTCCCAGGCCTTTGGGCCGGGCTTACCTGAGTCGACAGTAGAACACAAAGGATCTTGATGGGGCCCTGAGTAAGTGTTTCGCGATAGTACCCAAGACCTGGAGCAATGGACCTCTTAGGCACCTCTGTCGAGACCGTAGTGCGCCGGGCGGGCATCAATCATATCCCCGAGCCTCGCGCGGGGAAAGTCGTTAGTATTATTGTTGCCATGATGTCGGCATGTCTAGTCGCTAGCCTTTTCGGTCAGTACTCTGGTGTTGTGAGAGCGAGCTACCATGGACCTATGTGCTGACACATGATGCAGTTGTACGTTGGCTGTCGGTGAGAGACTGGAGGATATTGCCCTGGACCATGTGGCGTGAGCGATTCCCTGAAACCAAGACGCTGTAGGCTACGCTGACCATCGAAGTCGTCTTGTTGATCTACTTCTTCTCATTCGTCTTTGTCTTTGGGACGTCTATTATTCAGTTTGGATATGGAGCCGACCTCAACTTCCATACGTGCTCTGCAGCCACCTTTTTCTGCTTAGGGGGATACGTCACAACAAAGGTACGCTGTATATCAATCATCTGCCTTAGGTTGGCTACTGACTGTTGTGTTGCAGTTGGTGCGTTAATGCTGCAGGCCAGGGCCACAGTTGCCGCTGACGACTGATGCTAACTGACTCGTGAAGTTCATTTACCTTTTCATGGTAGAAAGAGCAGTGAGCATGTCCTTTTCTGTCAGGGAAATCCGTAGTTACCACTTACTTACAACAAAAGCACATCATTCGACAAACAAGAAAGAGTCGCTTGAAGTCGAAACTTTACCTCATCAACTCATTTGGCATGCTAGGTAAGGCGGCAACCGACTCAAACCTGTTATATTGATTGGCTAACATTTGAAAAGGTGTATTCGTGCTGATTGTTATTATGAATTTCATCTTGTAAGCTGCAGGTCCGTTGTGCAGATTGCGAACCCCACTGACAGCTTTTGCAGCCGAATAACACATTTCGAGGATGGCATTTGCATCATTGGGATGCAAACACCAGTGATACTGCCGCTGATCTCATTTGATGCGGCCGTGAACGCAAGTCCTCCCCAAGGTCCTTGATCAAATTGAGACTAACCCGTTCGGTAGGTCTACCTCACAATTCTGTTCTTGCTGCCTCTATTGAGTAAGTCCCGCACACTATTGCTCGTGTGACGGTACGGAGTCTAGGGTGGCATGCTGATAAGCGGTTTTAGGTCTTCACTCCGTAAAATATAACTTCTGGAGGCCATGGACCCTGGACTGGAGAAATAGACGCATCTCGCGAGCCCCTCCTAACATCAGACTGCGGAAACTCGTCATTCGTACGTTTATTGGGTCTTGTTGCACACTCCTTAGTAGTGTAACGTACGTATCTATTCGAACCCTCGTGATCATGTAACGCATGGCTGACGTACTGTACCAGAAACCTCACAGTCCTTATGACTCTCAATGGCGAAGTTGCATGGCTCTGTTTATTGTGCTGTAACACAGATAGTAAGCATGTTTGCACACCTTTAAACACTCTCCGCTAACGTCTTTTAGTATCTTTCTCCGCCCTCGTAATCAACTGGATTACATCACCTGGCCAAGAAGCAACCCTACGTACCCTGACCCGGCCGTCACTCGGCGTATCCACACTCAGCCCGGATGAAGCAGCGAGTATTCCCCTGGATCCCGATGGAAATAGCATCAGCACCACCACAAAACGGTGGGGACAGCGACGAGCTAAAACACCAACGACGCTAGGTATCTCGGCAGCCAATAGCCGAGAACATGATACCGAGCAAGGCTCGGACACAGTGGGAGACGCGCGAGAAGGCGCGAGAGAAGACACGTACGAGCCGGGTATCGAGCATACGAAAGTTCAGAATCAGGAGGACCAATGTAAAAATACCCAGTGACCCTTGTATATGAAGAAAACAGACCTCCGGTCTTTACGAAGCACAAGAAATGTTGGGAGGTCGATTTTCTCATGCATGAAACATCGCGCACGGGTAGCTGAGAGAAAGAATAGAAAAGGGGGGCATGAATGGTCGACCGCGAATGAAGAGCCCCGATTTGCAGTGCTGTTATGATTTGTCCTTTCCTAGTAGCCTCCGACTTTGCGTTTCCATGAATCACATTGCCCAAGAGTATTCGTAAGTCATACTCAACTGGCTTGCAATCAGGACCGTATAAGTCTGTATATCTGATCACAGTGTCAGTGCGACCCTCCCCCCCCCCCCCCCCCCCCCTTAAAGTTGACCCAAGCGTATAAGCCAAGCATTGCTTCATGGCTATATCAAGTTTGACTCCACTCTTCTTCAGCCCACTGACTAACATCGGTCCGTGGAGTTCTCATGATCTAAATGGGTAAACAGCTAAAATGCCGAAGACAAGGTCCATTTAACCCGTAACATGTCAATCCTTACTCGCGACCGCTATGTGGAAACATTGAGCACTCAGTCTCTTGTTTCCAGGTTATGGTAGCCATCACAAAAGCCTTGATATTTGGACGAAAACGATGCGGGGAGAAACAAAGGGGTATGATAAATATAGCGTCAAACGGCATGGCTAAGGTGCCAAGGATAAGTGCAAGCAAGAATCTTCTAGTGTCTCGATATCGAATGCCCCTGTGAAGTAGATGGAGATGCGAGTAGTAGGTAATAAACGTAATAGCAAAGCTCAGAGCCCCTCTAGGGTCACCAGGGTAAGTCGAGGATACCCTAGCTATGGTAGGCTTAGGCATTCAACGGCTCATCGTGTCTGGTGGACAGCAACTCCAAGGATTTCATTGACCCTCAAGCGGCTGTTACTGCTGCGCCTACCAGGACCGGATAACTCTTTCGGACACATGGGCCAACATATGCTTCATGCCCCACAGTTAACCCTGTATGTCGACGGTTGAGCTTTCTCGGAATCTGGTCCGTCGGACATTTTCAAGCGTACTAAGTACTGCCTGTTGCATTGTTTGTTCGTACAAGCGACTCCACTGAAGAAGCTCATGACCGTCCACTATTGGGCAGATTAGGCCATTGTAGTTGGACACGAGTCAAGCATTCTTTCGGTGTCTCTCCACAAACGGACAAATCACAGGGCTGAGTCTGCTAACCCCAGGCGCTAACATCAATGCGAGGCTCGCTGTACTATATCCGGGACCTATCGTGAATCCAATCAGGAGCTTTGCGTTCTCGAACATCAGCCTTATTCGGGTTCCAATATCAAGCTAGTCGTCTAGCCGAAGTGGCGATATCTGTTCCGCTGAAAGTTTTGAAACATAGCAGTCACTCGGCTAGCTTCGTCTCTGGGACTCAGATATCCGCTTCAAACAAGAAGGTAGGTGAATCATGATGGGTCATCTACTGCCCAAAAGAACCCTTGTGCTCAGCCGCGTCTAAGGGGACGACCACCGACCCCACTCGTTGAACCATCAACACGGAGTTTTGTAAGAGTCTTGGGCGCGAACGGCCTCATGTTGAATGATTTCCCCAGTCATCATGCCTTGTCAGTGCTCCGCTCCTAATCAATCTGTCGCCCGTAGCAGCTGCTTGGGAACAGTCGTGGATGATGTCCAAATTTGGAGTTGACGATGCCGCTTCAAGGAGGCGTTGCAGTCTGTAGGATGCCCCGTGCTGTAATGAGAGCTTAAAGATGGATCGCAGCTCACAGAAACGACTTGACTTGTAAGTCTGAAAAGTAGATATAAGCCGGCCATCGATGTCCGGAACTCATGTTCTCGATCCAATCCATTCCAATCCAAACACACACTCTCGATCACACATCATCAGCTTCATCCATCTCCTACCAAATAACTTCTTACAATACCCTTCTCAAACCAATCTTCAATATGCGTTTCTCTGCCATCTCTCTCGTTCTCGCTTCTGCTCTTGCAGTCAATGCCGCAGCTGTCCCTGTGACGGCCAAGGCCAGCATTCCTGTTGAAAACGGAACCGGCAGTCACATCGCTGAGCGCCAGGCCGGTGTCACTGGCGCCATCACCGCCATCGGCAACGGAGCCATGAGTGTCGCCACCGGCGTTGTTGTCAATCTCGTCACCGATACGCTTCGCACCATCGTGGACTGGACCAAGGCTCGTGAGACCTTCACCAAACAGACCACGGACGAGATGTGGAAGAAGAACCCCGACCCCGCCAAGTTCCCCGCCGTAGTCTGCTACAACAAGGGCTACCACCTCGCGGACCCCAATGGCGTTGATGGCAAGGCTAGCGTTACTCTGCGCTTCAATCTGCTCAAGGTCAAGTAAGTTATTTATCCTTGGGGTTCGGCCCCTCTCAATCATCTCGTCTGATTCGACTTTTTAATGAGCTCCACGCCGGGCTGGCTAGAGTTCGGCACTCGCTATTATTTATGTAGAAAATAAGCTAACGCGGTTCGCAGCTATGACTGCATGTACATGAGCGGCCCCAACCAGTTCTTCACTGACAGTGACGGTGGTCTCATCAACGTGAGCAAACGATGATATGGCATCAAGTCAAAGATATCAGCCTACTAACATGTTCTGGTAACAGCTTTCCTACTCCCACGACGAAACCCGCTGCACTTTCGATAAGTCCACCGGTGACCTGACCTGCAAATAATAAACTTGGAATGTTTCGAGAAGAGGGCCTGTAGAGCATGCTCGGAATGAAGCTTAGTTTCCTCCGAAAAGGTCTCCAGCCTCTGTACATAAGATTCTTGATGATCACCTGTCCCGAACTGCACGATATCATATTGAGGCTGGACTCAGTAAGCGTACATAGCATCTGTCATAGACTGGCATTTCACCTGTCAACATAAGCTCGATGAAACATATCAAAAGATGCTGTTTGTTCCACTGCTAGCCTAGTAACAGACGGCGGCGTCCGAGGTGGTCCGTTTTGTTCTTGCTTGATCTTAAATCTCTTCCACTCCATAAAAAGCCTGGCTGCAATGGCGATTGCAGCAGATATGACAGCCACGTATAGAGAAGTAGTTGAGGAGCCCCCATAAGTTTGCGCGGCAAAGGGTAGAAGCTGCGACTCAATATGCGCAGGGTTAATACTTGACGCCCCAAGATCGGTGATCTCTGTAATCTTTCCGGGTCGAAGACGAGAGCCCAGGCGGCTGGTTAATGTGTCGAGAAAGGCCGATTGGGCGATGGATGTGCCCAGCACAACGCCCGAACTTTGCGAGAAACTGTTTAAAGCATTTGCAATCGGTATTTCTGTAGGACGTTTCGAACGACAGTGATGGATCCTAAGCACTGACCAAAAAGAGGCTTCAGCAAACAGTTGAGTACTCCAGAAAGGCGAACTGCTTGTTAAATTGCAGGTCTCGAAGAGTGTCACGTTCCGTAGATAGTATCTGCATATGCATATGTGGGGGTTAGTAAACGTTGTTGTGATGCTTTACGAAGCAAGCAGACGCACATCGGCACATACAACAATATCGCACGAATGGACCTCGACGTCAAGATCTTTTTCGCCGACCGCGGCATCTCAGCTTCGCATCTGCAAGCCTCAGATATATGAAAGAGCGTCTTCTGCGCCTTACTAACGCATCTTGCGAAACCGCAGAATAATTACGTGTGGGTTGAAAGAAGCTGGACTCCCTGGTATACGAGTTTAGTAATCCGTACATCATGGTGACTGGCAATATTTGATCCGTGTGAGACTCCTTACGGCAGATCGACGGACACACTTGGAGAGGCCGCCCCCCATTTGCGCCAGACCATAGTACTGTGATTTGAGTGATATTTACTCTATTGTGGCTCCTCGCGTGCGCCACTGGGTTTCAGTTTGGAACGTCTTATGGCAGAAGTCTTGGGCTAAACCGAGACTTGTTTTTTCTCTCTCGCTTTATCACTTTATTTATGTAGCGTACAGGCCGGAGCTGCGCCTCCGCTATTGTACAGTCCGAGGCTAATAGATCGGAAATCCAGCGACCGTTCTATATTATAACTAGATTGGGCCACTTTCAGAACAGCGACCAGTATTAATCAATGGACGGATATTAGAATGGTCCGCAAGAATGAGCATGAAGCGTTGAGATTGGAAATTACATGCTACAAGCGCTATCTGTGTATGCAGGTAAATGACCGAGACATCGGAGCCAGTAAGGACAGAAGGAAGCAAACGTATATACGTTCCAGAAGTCTGTGGCTTAAAGCAAGGGATGAGATTTTGCGTGGCCAATCGCCGATTAGCATAAAGTCTCACATGTAGGGTACCGCTGACGTGCACGATGCATCGCTTCGAACATTCACTACATACGCTTCGAGTCAAGCAGCAGCCACACCCGGTGAGCTAGACTCCATCAGGGCAGCCGTGGCTATCGCCAGAGTTGTTTGTCGTTTCAGCCCCTTTCAAATGTCGTCCTAATCGAATGCGGCTCCTTTCCCACGTAGGCCCAGAGACGTGGGGTCCGGGGGACCTACAAAGTGCGTCCGTCCCGCCTCCGGCTACCTTAAGACACCATCCTCCCTACTTCTCAAGCCTGAAAATCCGGCCGAAGAGAAAAACGAATCGAGATGTCTCCAAGCGAAAAACCCCGTGGTCATGACACCGCCAATGGCGAACACCACCACCACCAGATCCGCAAGCCGCATCTCACCACGGTGGAGGGCCACCTGGTCGCCGCGTCAGCGGAGTTCGTCGGCACCTTCTTCTTTCTCTTTTTCGGCTATGGCGGCCAGCTCATGGTGATCCTACAAGGTGCCAATTCAGCTCCGGATGGCTCGCTCAGCGCCGAGGGAGACGTCTTCATCGCGCTGACCTACGGCTTCTCCCTCCTCGTCAATGTCTGGACGTTCTACCGCATGAGCGGCGGGCTCTTCAATCCCGCAGTAAGTCTAGAATCGCGAAATCAACAGACTTGTGGAAGCCGCTGCTTACCCTGGCATGATCAAGGTCTCCATTGGGTTGTCTCTCGGTGGCCAGTTGCCTTGGATGCGGTCTGTGTTCTTGATTCCAGCACAGATCTTGGCCTCCATGTGTGCCGGCGGACTAGTCGAAGTGATGTTTCCCGGAAACATTTCTCAAGCCAACTCATTGCTTGGAAACAAGACCACCGTTGCTCAGGGCCTTTTCCTCGAGATGTTCTTCACCGCCCAACTGGTTATAGTCGTGTTCATGTTGGCTGCTGAAAAGTCCCGCGACACCTTCCTCGCACCAATTGGCATCGGCCTTGCCCTCTTTATGATCATGATTCCCGGTAAGCCTTTGGCCCATGACGAGGTCTGCCGGCCGACTGGTAAGCTGATAGTTCGCCGTAGGGACATTTGTCACGGGAGGATCACTCAACCCGGCCCGTAGCTTCGGATGTGCCGTGGCCGGGAGACAGTTTCCCGATTACCATTGGATTTACTGGCTCGGGCCGACGTTAGGAGCTGCTCTCGCTGCCGCCTACTACAGGTTCGTGAAATGGGTTCACTATGAAGAGGCCAACCCGGGCCAAGACTTGCCCGTGGATCCGGAAGAACTTGCGGCTGCTCAAAACTCGCAGTTGCCTGGAGTGCATGGGCCCAGTGGGTTACATGGACTGGTTCCTCACCGCCACGAAGTTTAATCGAGTGCTTGTAGGTGGGATAAGTTGAACAATGGCGCTTAGTTTGGCTTGTTTTAAATGCATCAACTGGTTCACGGGCCTCGCCAACTGAGCTCATCAGTGAAGCAGAGGAAATGGAGGTTTGATAATAGTAATAGCGCCAGGAGAAGACATAATTCCTTGCCGCGAAATGATGAATAATAGCTCCTAGTTGTCAGCCGTAGTTGTCGACTATTGCCATCCATAACAATCTACAATTTTGCCAAAAGGCTATTCTTGGACAGTTTTTCCGCAACATCGTGTGCGCCACCACCTTTGCTGAACATCTCCCTCAGGTCCTTGACCAGAATCTCAGGTCTCTCATGCGCGGCGAAGTGGCCACCATCCCCATGCGTAACGGCGAAGACAACGGGGCCAAGCGTCTTGGCATGGCTCATGGGCGGTACAAATAAGTCCATGGGGAAGATGGACACTCCGAGCTTCACGCGTGGAATCCATTTCATTGGTTCCGTCGGCCGGACGGGGTGTTTCACCTCATAGTAGATCCTCGCGCTTGCTTCGGGGCCGGCCCTGGAGAACTGGTAGATGGAGATCCACGTCAGGATCTCGTCGTCTGTCCATGGGTAGCTGTCAGTCCAGTCGTGCAGCTTCTCCAAGATCCATGACAACAGCGCAACAGGGGAGTCGGCCCATGCCAAGCCCAGTGTCGAGGGCTTGGTCGCCTGCTCGAGGTTGTAGCCGAAGCCTTCCTGGCGGAACCAGCGGCTCCGCTCAATGCCCTTCTTTTCTTTCTCGGTGTAGGGAACCAAACTTTTGAGGTACTGCCATGGGTTCTTCGACAGCGATGGCGGGGATGCCGAGACCATGTTGATGTGCGAGGCCAAGACATGGTCCGGGTACAGAAGGCCCATGAAGCGGGTGATGCTGAAACCCCAATCACCTCCCTGGGTGACTATACACTTGTCAGTCTCACAGAAAGAATCGGCAAAGGCGAGGAGACTGACCATATTGCTCATAACCGAGCTTCAGCATAACCTTGTGCATGACCTCAGCGTACTGAGGCAAGCGGAAGCCCGGCTTCTGGGGACCTTCGGAAAAGCCAAAGTTGGGAAGTGAAGGCGCGACGACGTCAAACGAGAGGCCATTCTTCTCCGTCGTCAGAAGCGGCAGGATCTTTAGGACCTCGAGGAAGCTGCCGGGCCCTGATGACGAGTTAGTCCACCTCAGCTTCTGCGGCCAATATCAGACGAAGGCAATCTGCTTACAGCCATGGGCGAAAAGCAAGGGAACAGCCCCGGGTTGCTTGCTCTTCTGATGCAGGAAGTGAATTTCCAGGTCTCCAAAGCCGTCGACCGAGATCGTCGTCGTGAATTGGGGAAACTCGTTCAGCCTGGCCTCGGCAGCCCGCCAGTCGTAGCCGTTGCGCCAGCGGTGAACAAGCCTCTCGACCTCGGACACTGGGGTGCCGTAGTCCCAGCTGTCGGTGAGCGCGAAGGCCGGTGGGAACTTGGCGAGGTCGAGCTTGGAGTGCAACTCTTCGATCTGCGAGTCGGGAACCTCGATCTTGTAAGGCTTGATCGGGGATGCCATCTTGACGATGTCCGGGGCTGTGCCGCTGATGCGAGAAGTTTAGTCAAGGTACGGTTATATATGAGAACTTTTCCAATTTTCTCATAGCTTGAGGGGATTTTGCAAGGTGTGATGCGATGCAACCCTTGATAATGAATGCACAAAGACAAAGTGTGAGATTCGCGGTGTTTTATGTCGGAGTTCAACAAGCGCGCCCTTCTTTGGACCTGAACGTACGTGCCTATGGCGTCAGGGACACTACCGACGGTACAAGCGTCGCCAATACATACTACTTATCTGACTAATTCATCGGCGCTGTTGTGGCACCCTAGCTTCTTCTGTCGGGGGGATAAGGGGGCGAGGTGAGTGAGGGGTTCCCCGAGGCCTGGCGCGAGTGTTTTCCCAGGGCCATATCAGTAGAAAACGCCATCTGATCATGCTGAAGGGTCCTGGAGTCTGACATCATGGCTATGCTTGGTGGAAGCGCAGTGAGATCAACATACGGCAGGGCACACTTCTGACATCGACATGAAGGGCGCGCTGATAAATTGAGGGCTTCTTACAAACAGAAGGCTGGGTCTTGAGAATTCTTGGGGCATTGACAAAATGTTTGTGCGAGTAAGGTGAAATCGATGATGCCTTTGCTGAGTTGTGGACGTGATGTTCATCCTTGTGCATTCACGCACCTGTTTACTGAGGTTAAGCTCACTGCAGTTCACTACATCCTCAGTCTTAATGATACACATCAAACATGGTGATATTAATGAAGAAGAAGAAAAAAACGAGAAAACCAGGTCACAATTGGTTGAATAATATTTCTCATTACTCGCGCATGCTGTTAATCTCATTCAACACCGACTCTCTCTCAGTTGATCGTAACTGACCACGGCTTCGAGCAGTGTTTGGGCACCGTTAGCGCTGTCAATCATTAGGTCATTTTGCATCTCAGCATCGGCATCGCAATTTTACTCACCAGTCCGCCGGGCTGCAGTACTCTTCCGGGTGGTGGCTCACTCCGTCTTTGCAAGGGACAAAGATCATCGTGGTTGGGCATCGCTTGCTCGTGTAGACGCTGTCATGGCCAGCGCCGCTCGTCAACGGCAGCCACCCGTCGGGTCCGACAAGGCCGTTGGCTGCATCCTCCACGGCCTGGATGCACTCCTTGTCAAACTTGACCGCCGGCGAGTCGGTGTCGAGCGTCCACCGCAGCTCGACGCCGCGGCCATCTTGCTTGGCGATTTCCTCAAAGGACCTGAGGCACTGCTGCTGCACTTCCTCGACCACTGCGTCCTCGGGGTGTCGGACGTCGAGAGTGAAGGTGACGTCTGAGATGATGGTGTTGGTTGACGAACCGCGCGGGATCTTGATGACCCCAGTAGACGCCAACGCGCCAAGCTTCTTCGCAATCGCGTTCGACGACGCAATCATCTTGGAGGCCGCAAGCAGCGGATCCTTGCGTGACTTCAACGGCGTCGTACCTGTGTGGGCGTCGCGGCCACGGACGTTGAACGTGTACCAGCGGTACGCCTGCGCCCCTTGCACGACGCCAATCTTCTTGCCGCTCTCCTCCAGAATGGGACCCTGCTCGATGTGCAGCTCGAAATGCGCCCCCAGCGGGAAGCCGGTTGATGCATCGCTGGAACACGCCAGGGCACCAATGTAACCGTGTCTCTCGAGTTCCGCTTTCACAGTCACGGAGGGATCAAAGATGTCGGCCAGGTCCCAGGCCTTTTCGCGCGGGATCTCGCCGGCCCACACCCCCGACGACATCATCGATCTTGGGAAGCGAGCACCCTCCTCGCTGGTCTCCGTCAGATGCCGACGCGGCCTCCCCTGGATCGATGCACTCACTTGGTCCAGTTGACGATGCCGACGTCGAACCGAGTCCGGAATCCATTGTCCTTCATCGTTCGCATCACCTCGACTGCGGCGAGAACGCCGAGGATGCCGTCGTATCGGCCGCCGCGGGGCTGGGTGTCTAGATGGCTGCCCATGGCGGTCATCGGGGCCGGTGACTGGAGAGAACCCTTTCTCTTTGCAAACATGTTGCCCATCTCGTCGACGGAAAGCGCACAGCCCAGGTCCGCCGCCTCGTCTGCGAACCAACGCCTCACACGGGCGTCATCGTCAGACAGCGCCAGCCGGGCCATGCCGGTTTCTGTTGGTTCCCTTCACGAACGCATTAAAATCAAAACGCTCTCCCCGGCTCAGTAAACCGGACGGGAGAGAGACTCCAGATGAACACGCACCTGCCATAGCGATGAGCTGCCCCCCATTGGCACGTATGATGAATAGTCTCCTGAAGCCGGTCGGCGTTGATCTTGAGCCCTGATAAGGAACCCCGCGCGGTTGATAATGACCTCACCGAACGGAGGACGGGTAGTAGCGGCTTCGTGCAAGATAACATCCTGCCGAGCATAGATGAACGGGAATTGGGCATAAACGATAGTAAGTAGAAGGGGCCAGGAGATAACCTGGGTACAAGATGTCCAGAGCTCGTGCAGTGTTGACGGGACAGAGAAAGATGTGCATTATACTTCCTAGAGAGGGAGAGGGGGTAGGCAAACAACCAACCCCGGCCCGTCCCATCGGCAAACTCGCCCGACTTCGGGTCAGAGCCCGTCCACTGTTCAATGCATGTATGCCGGACGACTCCATCTAGAACTGCAACTAGGTTGTCAATAACGCCTGATTTAAATGCCATCGAGGAACATTTGTGCAATTGCAGTCAATTAATGGTGCCATTGACCTCTTCAACTGCTACTATGAAGCCGCAAAGTAGGTGTTCCTCCGCATCGCAGCCCCGCTGCCGGCATTACCGTCGGCCAAGGCAGTGAGATTCGTACAAAATAAGTACTTTCGACCCGTATCCCGCCACGCCTGTTACGTTCCGGTAGATACTGCACCGCCGGGTATTATCGCAGTCGCCGAATACTTGACGACTATCCCGGTTTGGGACACAAAAGCCCTCTCACCGGCGTAGACTGTCGGGCCCGGGATATTGTACGTCCCAGTAGGCGACTGGGAAATGTCGTAGACCAGACCTTCCTCTGCAGGCCGATACAAGTGCGTCCCCAAGGTGCCCGAGGGCTTAACGTTCCCTTCGCCCACAACCTCGATGTTGACACACTGCGGGTAATGCTGCGCGCCCTGTCCGAAAACCCGCGCGTAATGCAGCGCAATGATCTCGTGTCTGAGGACGTAGTGTCCCGGCACGACCTTGGGAGGAATCTGCACCGTCCAGGTGGCGTTGTTCTGGATAAGGATGTCGGTCGCCCATGTTCCCCACGCAGTTGCGAAACTGGTCGCGTTGGCTTCGGGGTCGACGAGTCCAACCTTGTCGATGGCAAAGAAGTTCAGTCTTGTCTTGTCGGCGGCTTCGCAGGATCCGGCCTCTTCCCCGCAGTATGCCAAGTACGTCAACACTGGGCCGTGGTGAGACTCGGGCCAGCCCTGCCACTGGAAGCCGATGGTGGTTCCGGCGGTAACGGGAACGTGGGCACGCGCGTTGGTAGCGCTGGTATGGCATACAATGTCTGGCTTGCCGTAGCTTTCTGTGCCGATCCAGCCGTCGTTCTTGACCGACGTGCCCCACGCTGCCAACGCTTTGGGTGTTGTCCGTTGCGGGTTGAAGCCTTCATAGGAAGCTCCATCGACTACGAAGTTCAACACGCGGCTATGCCCCAAGGCCAGGCCAGTTGAACCAGCCAAGATAAAAACGACGTGGCGCATTGTCGAGTCGAGCAGTTGGACTTTATTTCTGTCAGAGATATCAGAACGTAGAACTACCATGATGGCAACTGTAATCAGTCATATAAGTAGTATCTCGGAGCCTTGATGGCATTTCCCAACTGTCCAAGAGAGGTATCTTCAGGACACTCTATTTGATTCTGGCGTTGTGGCATTCTGGAGCTGTTTGAACGGCCAAACACGCGGCAGGAGATGAATTTTAATGAACAAAGGTTCATTCAGCCGGGTCAGTGTATCGTTTTAATGAAATTGCTTGTCCGCTTGGCCTTCCGGCTTTGGCCAGCGGTTGTCGGCCCAAGAACCAGATGCAACGTCATTAATTTCGTCCAAGTTACCCAATATGAGAATGGCCCAGTGTTGTCAAGGTTGGCCAATCGTCTTCCAGGCATTGATATTGGCACTCCTGCATAAGAAAGCAAGCGAGACGCTTGGTGACACCTGCAGTCTTTGTCAATTCGGAGACTGGAGTTAAGCGCCTTTTTAAAGTGAGGGATCGGCATCCTCTTGAAGCACGTCACAGAGCCATGAGTTTTATAAAAAACTGACAAAAATGGACGAACAGGGAATCGAACCCTGGACCTACCGCATGCTAAGCGGTCATTATACCACTAAACCAATCGCCCAACTGATGCTGTTTCAACAGTTCCAAATAGCTTTCTATGTAGGATGAATGGCTCTTTCAGAAGACCCAATTGATTTGCACACAATTGACTCCTCATCCAACATGTCTCAATAGAAGGAGTGTTTTTGTCCACTTAGGATGCATCATTGTGGGCTTCTCTGGCTGCAAAGAGACAATATTGTATTACAGCTAACCAAATCATCCAGTCCCTCGGTGTCGCCATGAACCAGACTGTTCCAGCGCGCGCCTCCTTGCATTGGTTGACTAACTAATATTACTTATTAATGCTTTTCTGTTCAGCTGCAGTTGACTTATTTTGCGCCGAGTCATAGCTGCAGCCCCCAATCAGGTGAAGGGCCTGTTCTAGCCAAAATACCCTTCGTCGAGGCTGCACCCATGTCTCTCGCCTTCTTCAGCTCCGCTAGTCTTTTGACGACTGAAATTGTGTCGCGTGCCTGAATTCCTTTTTTGATCATGTCGGCGATCAACTATCGAATTACCCCATGATCGTGGCGCTGACCGAGACAAAGAGGCACGAACCTCTCTCGGACACCGCAAGACCGCAATTTGCGCCATGCTCCACGGCACGGCATTTCCGAATCGCATTTCTGGAGGCTGAAGGCGCTAGTTTTCTCGCTAATCTGACCCCAAGGTTCTCGGGTCGTGTTACCATCTCGGTTTAGCAAAAGCCTGGACTCCTAGCTTAACCTAATCCTTGTTTTCTCCTGAGGGTTTGAATATTATCGTGCCCTCAGCTCTTTACACACTTTAGTCAGAGTTTCGAGATGATTCTCCCTGGCCCAGTTGCTCTTCCAGAACCGTATTGGGTTTGTTCACGAGATCCACAAGGGAAAAAATAGCGTGTCCACGCCAAGGGCAGCAGCCCCATCATGGCAAGCCCACATGAACATTCCTCTAGACAGGTCATTCGCAAGGCAAGATGCTCCTCGTGGCCGGTCTATTAGTCTAGTTGGTTAGGACGTCGGATTCTGATTTCACAATCATATCTTTCCGTAGGCCCAGGTTCGAATCCTGGATGGACCTAACTTTTGCATTCCTCAGTCATGCTTGTCTTTATGCCTATTTCGTCTCTTTCTAGAGGTGTCAGAGACCGGCGATTTCCTGTGTTCCCGCTTTTTTTTTTTGTTGCGGCTCGGAAACTAAAATGAGAAAAGCGGCACAAGCCGCTTGGTTCGTGCTGCCTCGGGCATGGCGTATGATGGTAATACATGTAATTGTTTGTTGAGTAGCGCAGTTGCTGGTGTCTCGGGCCGCCCCCCTAGGTCGCTTGCTGGGCCAGAATTCCGGGGGAAAACAACAGTTCACAGACACCCCTTTTTCGACCTTTGGCCAGACCAAAGCCATCTCCTGATCTGGCTGGGCTGTTATACGGCAGACCCATCTAGCTGATGTGCGTCAGGTAACTCGTTCAGACCTAAGCGGCAAGGCGTAGCAGCTCCCTTCGGCTGTCTACTGGCACGATAGTGCCTATGGCGTGTCTGAGAGTGAGAAGTCAGACTGGACTCGAGCTACGAGATTCTTTCTTCGTTTCCTCTGACAACGAGCACACCTGTCATCTCAAACCGCAATGGCCTGGGTAACTAGTGTTATAAGAGAGGTGGCTAGAACCACACAGATTACAACTGTTTTCCAACATCTCTTTCACTTTGTACTCTGATAGCCGTTGTCTCTAGATCAATAGCTTATGCCCATTGCGCACATTACAATGACTTCACCGCTATCTGGAAAAGACGACATTGACAAGACTCACCAGTTTTCCATAACAGAGAAAGCATTAGCAGTACCGGTCGAGCATCACAACGCTTTTTCTCGGAATCAGCTCAGGACCCCATCAGTGTGGATGAGTCAGACGTCATTGGACTCCGAGAAGACAGACAATGAAGATGAGGGCACCTCTACGTTGGTAAATTAACTCGGCATGAATGTCTGCATCTTTCTCTTACAGTTACTAGGTGACCTGGGATGGACCAGACGACCCGAAGAACCCTAAGAACTGGACTCGGAGACAGAAGTGGACAGTGAGTGCTCTGCATGATTCAAGCCATACGTGCGTACGCCCACTGACGGCATTGACAGACTTCATTAATCATTTCGTCGTTCGCATTTCTCTCCCCTCTTTCCTCGTCCATCGCTGCACCGGCCCTCAAACCGATCGCCGAGGATCTACACATCACGAACGAGGTCTACCTTCAACTGGTGCTGTCCGTCTTCCTCTTGACATATGCCCTCGGGCCTTTTATACTTTCACCCTGCTCAGAGATATGGGGTCGAACACCCATTGTGAGAGTGGGCAATGTAATATTCATCCTATTCACCACATTGTGCGGGTTCGCTACTTCGAAGGAAGAGATCTTGGCCTTCCGGTTCTTGGCCGGCATCGGAGGGAGCGTTACAGTCGGGGTATATCTTCACCAAGCAGGCCCGATGGCATTTCTTTCTGACTCTCCTGATACAGATGGGAAACGGTATCTTAGCAGACTGTTGGCGACCTGAAGAGCGCGGGAAAGGCCTTGCCTGTATGCAGTTTGCACCAGTGATGGGTTTGGCGATTGGACCGATCCGTATGTTAACAACCGCTTCGACTACCCGAATCTTGATTATCCGCTAACAATTGACATCTTAGTTGGTGGCTACATCTCCCAGTATGCAACTTGGCGGTGGGCCTTTTGGCTTGTAGTCATTGTGAACCTCACTGTCCAGTTGATCGCGCTCTTCTTACTCCGGGAGACGTACGCGCCACGTCTGCTTCAGCTGAAGGCTCGCGATCTTCGCAAGGCCCATGCTGAGCAAACCTTCCATACCGAGTGGGAAAAGAAAAACCGCACCCTGCCCGGAATTCTGAAAATCAGCTTATCACGGCCCTGGATCATGCTGGCAACGCAGCCCATCATCCAGAGCCTAGCAATCTACCAGGCTTTTAACTTTGGGTTTCTTTACCTCATAATTTCCGGATTTCCTGCACTATGGGAAGACCATTATGGGATGAGTAAGGGTATCGCTAGTTTGAACTACATCTCGGTCGCTGCTGGATCCATGATCGGTGTCTTGATCTGCGGTCCAGCCATGGACGCGACCTACCGCAGACTCAAACTACGCTACGGTATGAAAGAAGACCAGGTCGGTGCTCCAGAGTTTCGCATCCCCTTGATGATTCCGGCTGCGGTCATTTCACCATGCGGTATCTTGCTGTTCGCTTGGTCAGCACAGAACAGAATGCATTTCCTGGTCCCAAACGTAAGAAAATACTTGTGGCCCTCTCTTTCCTCTACCTTGGCTGATCGGTGCTAAACACAGATTGGGATCGTCATTACGGTCGGAAGTAGTATGATCTCGTACCAATGCATATCAGCCTACATTGCTGACTGCTTTTCACTTCACACTGCATCGGCATCGGCTGCTTGCTCCTTCCTCAGGTCAATGGCTGCTTTCTCATTTCCGCTTTTTGTTCCTGCACTGTTCGGTAACCTCGGATATGGCTGGGGTGGGAGTGTATTGGCAATTGTGGCCGTGGTAGTGGGTGTACCGGCCCCATTCCTGCTGTGGAAGTTTGGACAAAAGCTGCGAACTAAAAGTCGGTTCGGAAATTCCCGATAAACCAGAATCATTCTTAAAATCTCTTACTTATGAGATCTTGCGTACCAAATGTAAAACTGAGATGCCCATCCGGTGGCAATGCCATATGCCTCCCCCGACCATTGAAAACGGCGGACTGAGATAGCTTTATCATTGCTTGAGACTCTCTGTTGACTTGGAGCCTCCAGCCAGGCGTGAGTTTTCGGTTGTACACGAGCCATAGTTGAGGAAGATACTGGAGATCTTGAACACAATACAAGAGAATTTCCCTTAGGAATGGTAGCTTGAAGAGCACGGAATAGCTAACGCCAGAAGGCAGATAGAAGAGTTTACGTCCAGTATCTTTGACTTTGATCCATTCTTGTCTCTCCGCGGGGCTCAGTGGGCTATCTCTATCGATACACTTGGCCAAGCCACGAAGGAAGCTTTTGCGAGCCTCCCGTGACGCTTACCACTTCATAGCAGTCTTCCTAGCCGGCATCGTCTGGCACATTAGATTAGAACAGAGCAACTACTTTACATTCTTTGTAGCAGACGCTGCGGTTCGTCACACACAACCAATTCATTCAACCAATACAACACATTCGTAGGCCCAATGAGACCAGACACTTCAATAGCACTTATGTCAGCAGTTATTTCTCTAACATCTGGCGCCGGGGCGTTCCGATGTCCGCGCACTTTCCTGTTTTCTACAGCATGCTTTTGCATGTGACAATGGTCGTCCATTTGACCTTATATGCGGAGTCATATAAGAGAGGCTGAGACAAAGTTGCGGGCCTAAGTAACCTTATATACAGTAAGCTTCTAAGTAAAAGTCAACTTGACGAACCTTTTCCTCAATAGGGTACGAAAAAATCAATAAGTCAATCAAACAGGTTAAGGGCGCGAATGTTGTCAGATTAAACCAGGATGTAAGCCAAACTGCTAGGTAGGTCTAGGTACATCCTCTGATACTCGGATTCTCCCCATCCGGCCCCCCTCCGCAACTTCCCCACTCTAGGAGTCTCTTCCATCCACACTTGATATTGAATCACTGGTCGTATCGGTTGGATTACTGCTTGAGAGGATTGTGCTGTTGACAGTGCTGTCTAGGCTGCTTCGACTTCCTTTATATTTCAGGAGCTGCTCGCTGAACAGTTGTATCGTAGTAGTTCTCAGCATCACAGATTAAGATCGTCTGCCTTCTAATTGGCACTAATCGTTTGGCGAGCTTCGTGGGCTATTACAATCAACTCAAAAGTAACATAAGCAGCAGAACATTATATCTCAAGTGCACAAGCCTCAACCACGTCGACCTTGCAAGATCCTTTCGATGATGAAGCTGACCCTTATTCAAAGTTGCATCATATCTGGTTTTGACAAGACATTGAATGCGAAGAATTGTTTCTTGCTAGTCAATGCTGTAATTTGCAGCCTCATGTTTATCTAATCAAGTAGGGGCTGATCTTGTAGTGGTGAGAAATTAAAGGTTTTCGGAACGGACTTATCTGCACCATACGCACTGCCTGAAACACTAGATGCCCACGTTGAAACAATGACTAAATATCACAGCTAACGTGTAAAAGATATTTATTTCCTGAGTCTTCTCGTTCTCGTAAGATTTTCCATTATTGCAACCAAATTAAAAATAACGGCATATACTACCATAATAATACCTTCCTCCTTGCCTACCATGCTTGTAACACTTCCTAAGATGCAGTTTCGCTTCACGGCTGTCCTTATATCCAGTATTCTTAGTTTGGCTCTTGGCCTACCAGCCGGCGAAGACCCTCAGTTTCCCTACAAGGTCCCCGCCCTCGACGCAGATCGATCTCCATGTCCTGTGATCAACAGTCTGGCAAATCATGGCTATCTCCCTCGCGACGGCAAGAACATCTCCAACGAGCAGTTTACCACCGCCTTTTTGACCGCTATCAACTTTGATGAGAAATTCGTCTCTATGGTAGCTGAACCCGTCTTTGCTGTTTCAACCACTGGCAACCCCAAAACTGTCAATCTTAAGGACCTGGAGAAACATAACGTTATTGAGCACGATGGCAGTCTTTCTCGCGCGGACATCGACGTCACTGGTAACGCCAACAAGTTCGATGCGGTCGTCTGGAACGGCGTCAAGGCGCATTTCACTGGCCCGACAGTAGATTCCAAGACAATGGCATTTGTGCGCAGTGAAAGGACCAGGGTTGCAAAAGCAACAAACCCGAGCTTCAACTTGACAGAGAAACAAGTCGGCGTTGCCTACGTCGAGGCTGCACTGGCTCTGGGTCTCATGGCTGGGGATTTCAAGAACCCCCATGCGCCGACAGAGTACATGAATATTCTTTTTGAGCAAGAGCGGTTTCCTTTTAACGAGGGATTTCAGAGATCGGCTACAAAGATCACGGGGGATCAAGTTGTGGAGTTGGCTGGGCAGTTGAGGAAGGAAATGGTGCCTTAAGGTTAGTGAGGATATTACTAGATGTAACTGCTTTATAGCTTCTGTCCTTCTAGCGTACACACACGCACACACACACGCATAATTTGTTATGCCTAGCGGTAAGGCCGAAAGGGTAGCTAAAGCTGTCTACATGTACAGTGCTGATTTTGTGTCCTGGTCTCCTTAAAGCCTATACGTACTGCTTCTATTTCCTGCTTCCTCCTCTAAATTGTTACAACCTAACAATTTACAGGCAATGTTACCACACCAAGCGAAGACATATAGGCAGCACAACCTTTATAGGAACTACTAACAAAAGGATAACTCCCTATAAACAGAAGAACTATAGATAGGTTATATAAAGATATGATAAGGTGATAACTCTATAGGATCTACCAAGTATTAACCTTAGCTATACTATTAGTAGAAACCATACTGATAGATTACTGGCTGTAATATAAATACATGCTTTTTAGGCAAGACATAAATTCACAAGATAGATACCGTACTATACCATCCTAGCATAAATTCTCTCCTTCAAGATTGACGTAGAGTGCTGGAGCCTTCCTAGGTAGGTTGTAGACAGAATCCACTAAATCCGCGATTGGTTCTGGTGTATCGATGAGATTGTAGGCGGGAAAGGTGTATATTTCAGTGATCTTGACGTGCTAGAGAATAGGAGTCTCTATGGCCTAGATTCATCGGGCTCTTTAAGCCCTGCGGGTTGATAGTAAGAGTGAAGTATGTTAGAACGAAGTTGCAATATAGACAGCCTTTACCTAATTCATCTTGCCACCTTTCGACCTTAACCTTCCCTCCTATATATTTTTCTTAGTACACACTGTTAGTGTAGGCTACCTTAATTATACTATAAACACTAATAGCTACCTTTTGGACTAAATTTCTTCCTATAGCCCTAGCTACTAAGGCTGAGGCCCTAGGCCCCCTGGCCTAGGCCTTCTTGTCTATAGCTATCCTTTAGACGTTTTTAACTTATTACTACTACCTTTATATAATACTACTTACTTTAATACTACTATCTATAGCCTTAACTTTACCTAATAACTAGTCTACTTACTATAAAAATAACTTACCTTCTTTTTATTACTAATAGTAAAAGATAAAGAGACTCTTAAATCTTTTACCTTTTACTTTACTACTATCTATAAAGAAAACTTTATAGCTAGTAATCTCTTAGACAAGATTAAAAGCTTCTACTATATTAGTACTACTTTACTAATATAGTTTAATTAACCTTAACCTAGCTTAAGTTAAAACTAGCTAACTAAGTAGTAGCTTACTACTATACCTTTATATTTACTTAGTTTCTTTAAGATATTACCTTTAGATAGTATAGTCTACCTAGTAACCTCTCTTAGCCTTAGCCTTAGCCTTAGCCTAAGATATATATAAATACTACTTTTTACTATAAATAATAAGAGGTATTACTTTATTAGGTTACTATAAGACACTTACTTACTTTATAAAAGAGGCCTAGTAATATATACTTAGAGGATCTTTATATTTTTATTTAACTTTTTATAGACTACCCTTTATAAATAACTAATTCTTTAGTTATTTATAACTAACTTATAAAAGCTTATAAAGTTTTAGTTAAGAACCTTATAGTAATAACTAAAGTTAATAGTAGTTTTATAATTACCTTATATACTATAGGAATATAATTAGCTATACTTACTTATAGTACTAAGCTATCTTAACTCTTTAATATAACTTATATTAAAGGATTTACTAGTTAGTATACTTATATTATTTATAATATCTTATATAATATTAAGTTAAGATTTAACTATAACCTTATTTTTACTAAGTCTATAATAGCCTTAGAGGTTAAACTATAAGTAAGTATACTAGTTATTTAAGTATACTTAACCTTTACTTCTAAAGGCTTTAACCTCTAATCCTAGGTTATTATATTTAGCTTTACTTTACTTTACTTAGCCTTCTAACTCTTTAAAAGTACTACCTCCTTTAAACTTAAAAAAAAACTACTAAAATAATACTTAACCTACTAGAACTAGTATAAGAACTACTTTTACTATTACTAACTATTTTACTTTTAGTATAGCTAGTCTATAGACTACCCCCTAGATATATATACTACTTTTACTAAATACTATAACTACTATAGTCTTTATAACTTAATAGCTAAGACCTACTTTACTAGACTATAAATAAGAAATAGCTTTTATTACTACTTTACTAAGGCTAAGAAGCTATATATTAGATAATAAGGCTAAGTACTTTATAAGGTAGCCTAAGCTACTACTTTAATAGACCTACTAGCCTTAGCTACTATATATACTAAGCCCTTAGCCTTAGCCTTAGCCCTAGAAACTACTAACCTTATAACCTTGCCCTTAGTAACACTAAGCACTAACCTAGTAAGTAGACTATAGGATAAAAAGAATATTACTATACTATTAAACTACCCTTTATTAGAAGAAGGTACTACCTTTATATTTACCCTAGGGACCCTAATCCTAGATATATAACCTATATTCTCTATAGCTATAAGGATAACTATATAAAAAAACACTAGAACTAGTAAACACCTATAACTATATTAACCTTTAAGTATTCTAAGTTAACGTTAAGAAATCTAGGGTAGTATATAATACTACTTTTATATTTACCTTAGTAGCCTACACTAAAGTTATACTAATATAAGAACTATAGTGCTCCTTAGATAAAGTATAAAATATTACTAAGTTTTACCTAGACCTACCTTCTTTTTACTAGTATATATATAGATAAGTATAAAAATATAACCCTATATTTTCTCTTATATCTAAAAAGACTTACTAGCTATAGAATTATAAGGTATTACTAAGACCTTAAACTAAAACCTACTAAGTATTATAGTATACTAAATATATATCTTTAATATATACTAAGATATTACCTTTATAATAACCCTTTACTCCCTAGAGTAGTAAATACTACTATAGAGAACCTTAGTAGCTAAGGACTTTAACACTATATACTACCTATAGTAACCTAAAGCTAAACTAAATTATAAGGTAGTATAACTTACTAACTAGTTTACTAGTTTTAACCTACTAGTCCTTAACTTCTCTAGGGAACCTACCTACTAGGCTAATAATACTTTTAACCTAGTAGTAACTAATATCCTTTTTACTTTATTATAGGTTACTTTATAGTACTATACTAGATCTAACTACTCTACTATAATTACTATATTTCTTTACACTAATATCTTATATACCTTTTACTTAAAAGCCTATCTTTGTCTTTTACTTAAATAGATCCTAGAGTTCTTAGCTATAGTAAAGAATATAGTATAGACTATACCTACTTTTACTAACTCTTATAATAACCTTAATTAAACTATACTTACTATTAGTATAGTCCTCTAGATAGCCTTAGCTAAGGCTAGTGTATAAAGTATACCTAGAGGTAAAAGTACACCCTAGTAGTCTAAAGACTACTAAAAAGTAAAAGAAGTATATTACTAGCTTACTAACTAAGACCTTACCTTACTAAACACTAAGAAAGCCTACTACCTCTTTTACTTTATTATCTATAAGGCTAAGTCTACTATATAGTAGACTTAGATATATAATATAGAAATAAATAAAGACCTATACTATATAATAGGTTAAAATAAGCTATCTACTTAGTTTACTTCTTTACTACTATAGAGGCTAAATAATATAGTTATTACTAACTTAATAAAAAAAGTACTATTCTTTAAGATAAAACTCCTTAAGAGAGATATTTATATAAATAACTTTAGCTATATAATACCTATAGTCCTATATAAAATACTTCTCTAGACTAATAAGGTTACTACTAAAGAATATTATACTACTTTACTAAAAGTAAGTAATACCTCCTTAGAGGTAAACAAAGTTACTATTAATATACTTAAGGCTACTTAGCCTTTATTATAGGATAAGTGCCTTATATAGTAGATAGACAGGTAGGACATAGGATTACCCTGTTAGTATATGTCTAGGTATATGCCTAGGGGTATATATCCTATTGCCTATTTCCTTCTATAAGGAAAAGTAACCTTAATAGATAACCTATACTTATACCTAGCTCTTGTCCTATATTATTTATTTAGCTCCTTGTTATTACTTGCCTTATTTTACTACTCTACTATTATACTTTACCTTTGTACTATATTACTTTATATTACCTATTATAGCCTTACTTCTCCTATTAGGTCTATAACAGCTAGTAAGAAGGCTATATTAGCCTTACCTTAGCTAGTATATTATATAACTATACTAATACTATATCTAAATAAAGTATTACTTTTTACTTTTTTACTAAGCTAAGACTATTATAATCTTTAAGCTAAACTAGGACACTAGTACTACTAAAGGCTAGTGCCTTATATTACTCCTTTTAACACTTAGTAAAAGGCTAGAACACCTTTTAGTCTATAAAATTACCTAGACCTATGTTTAGTAAAGTATTCTTTACCTATAAGTAGAAGGTATACTACTAAAGAGGTCTATAGTTAATATTATAGCTACCTTTATATATAATATTAAGGCTACTTTTACTTATAAGGAGGTTATTACCTTTATAACCTATAATATCTAAGGAGCCTTTAATACTACTTTACTAGACGTACTTAACTTATACCTTAGGGAATAAGGCTAGCTATATAATATTATTAAATAGGTTAAGCACTTTATAAGCCTTTATTAAGTGTTTATTTAGTATAAAAGGATAAGAATACCTATATCCCCTTTATCCTATAGACTTCTATAAGGATCCCCTATATTACTTATCTTATACTTATTATATATAGCACTTATTTATAGTATAGGCCTAGCCTTAACCTACTTTAGATATATAAATAATTATACTATCCTTTATATAAAGAAATCCTTTAAATATACTACTACTATAGCCTAGTCTATACTTAATATAACTATTAAATATAAAGCCTTTATTAGTATTATCTTTAACTTAGCTAAAATAAAAGTAATATACTTTAGCTATAAACTTAATAATAA